CCGAAGCCGAAGCCGAAGCCGAGGTCCGAGTGACGACGACGGCGCGAGGGGGCACCTTCTTCTTAACCCTTTAAGAAGTAAAGGAAGTGTTTCCTAATATAAGGACAACAATTTCCTCTCTTCTACCGATATGGTAAAAATGACTATTCATTTGCACTTTTGCAATGACTTTTCATTTTCCCTCCAAAAATTGGTTCCCCCATTTTCATTGGTTCTTCCACTTTCCATTTTCTCTTTTCATTTCCCATTCACTATTTCCCATTCATACCTTGCTAAACCCAACATATATATATATATACACATATTTTTTATCGGAGAACCGATAATTACTATTTTCAGACGTTCACAGTGTAAACTCTGCTCCAATGTAATAGTTCACAATCACACAAAAGAGATAAGCTGCACTAAACAAGCCCCTTACGACGAGCTTGACTGAAAATGTATACGAGAGATTTCAAACATGAATTATAGTATATATACGCACTTTAAAGAGTCTTAATTTTATTAATATTTTATTTTATATATGATCTCCTGAATTTATGTATAAGGTAAGATCAATGTTTTCAATCTACCTTTATTCGATGAATTTTACTTCAAGAAATCAAGTTAAGTTGGCAGTTTCTTTCAACTTCATTGACAACGTAAAAATGAAAAATAAAAATTTTAAAAATCATTGTGAATGCACCATATAATTATCTAGGACCTATTCACATTATACGTATAATGAGAACTCATACCGATATGATTTTAAGGTAAATATTTATAGTAGACGTTTATATCAAATCTTGTTAATTTATTGTAGTTATGTAATTTAACAAAACGAAAATGCACATCAACTAATTACCATGATTAAGTGTAAAGTCAATGATCAAATACATGGTACATATGTGTCTATTGATTCAGCATAAATATCTTAAAGCAAATTTTTTCTATTTAAAATTAACTCACATAGGAATCGTGTAAAAGAATATTTTTACACTGTCAATAAATTTTAACATGAGATAACATGTATAATTAGTTATCACTTTTATCGTATTATCAATGTTAGTCAAATTATGTGTATACTCGTATATAATCTATTAATTATATTCTTTTTGTTAACAATAGATTTTGTGTCATATTTAATTACACTAAAATTTTAAAAATTATCTTATATAGTCAACGTATAGAAAATTATTTTAAAAGTATATAATTAAGTACATAAATTTGTTTTTTTTAATTAAATATAATTTGAAACATACTTTGCCCCTATGAGAATTTTTAATATCTTGTCCCAATATTTTTTTTTCCCTTTAAACTAAAGCAATGAGAGGAAAGGAGATGTTAAAGTGGCGTTTTCAGAAGGTAAACAATGACACGCGCTAGTACGCGCTGCATGATCAAGTGACACGTGTAGAGAAAGCCTAAATAATTTTTTAAGAAAATAAATTCAAAAAAAGCAACAAAAAAACAACAACACAAAGAATGTGAAATATTAGTAATTTGGCTATATTTATATTTTAAAAATTAATAATATAAATATGTATAAATATTAAACTAATTCAAATGGTCAATAAATACATGCATTCAGAATTAATAAACTCAAATTCATAATCAATTTTTATACCTTTTTCGTCAAAAATATTAAGTTCTGCTGAAATTATTCTTAGTCAAAAAAATTAAATTCGATTGAAATCATAGTCAATAGCACAAAATATTCCATAGTTGCTTATTGAATATTCATAAGTAAATATTCTATAATAAACAATAAACATTTATAGGTCCTAAACATGATAAATAGTAATTAACTTACCATAATAGTTAATAATTAAACTACCATGATAATATAAAAATCTTGAAATTTAGGTGTGTGTTGGGGGGGG